ACCTGTCTCCCAGGGTAGAGAGGATTAAATCGGATCAAGCCCGGGAAACCTCTGGCAGGGCCTGACACCCACCTCGGTAGAAGCCTAACCTCTCTGCCCACCGGTCCTTGCAAGCCCCTGCCCCTCCCTCCAGGCTCTGGCCGAACTCCGGAGCCAGCCCTCCCTGGGCTGGGCAGAGCCTGGGGGAGAAGGGCGAGCCTTCCTGGGCCCGGGGTGGGCAGAGCCGGGTGGAAGACGTTTGGGGAGGGGGGCCGGAGCCTCGGGGTCTGCCTGACATCTCCAGGCTTAAATAACCATGCGCCTTTGTTATTCGTCGGCAGCAAAGTGGTTCGTTACGCCTGATTGGTCTAATTGCTTTGAAATGGGATATATTATCTATAATTATAGAGCTCTAGGAGGAGCCGGCCGGCCTCCGCTTTCATCTTCCCCAAGTGCACCCTCATGTCGCGATCACATTAATTTGGGCCATTTGAAAGGGGGGCCCCTTCTCTTCCCTGAAGATCTAGGCCCCCTCACCCCCTTCTGAATTTAAAGACACCGGGAAGCCCGGGCCTGAGCGAGGAGGGTGCAGCCAGTGGGGGAGGGGTGGGCCAGGGGAAGCAGCCGGGAGTCCGCCCGTCGAGGTCTCCCTGGCGCCCGGGGAAATCTACCGCACTCGGGCGGTTCCACTTGGGCGGTTCCGCTGCACAAGTTGGGTCCACTTTAGCGGAGGAATTAGCAAGAAGGAGAAAACGTTTTCTACAAGGAGCTTTTTTTCTCTTTCTTTCTTGACGTCGCGTTAAGGAAGGGCACCCAAACTCTCACAAGGCGTTCAGTTCTGCCCTGGTCCCGGGAAAGCAAAACCGGTTTTGCTCCGGATCTGTGCTGCGGGTCTGCACTCAGGAACTGAAAACGCCCTGGGGTTCTGGGCTCCTTCAAGCCGGGAAATCCTCCCGAAGGGTGGCTCAGTCACTCCCAGGCAGCTTCCCCAACCTCTGACTCCCAGCCGCTCTCTCTGAGCCACGGAGGCCAAAAGCCTGGCGAAGGCGCAGCCTGGAGGCCCCCTCCCCGGCTCCGGGATCCCGAGGTCGTGCTTTCTGTCTACCCATCAACCTCCTCCCCCCGGGACAAAATACCTCCTCTCTCTCCCCCTCCGCCGCCCTCCTGGAGATCGGTGAATTCCCACCAAAATAAATCGTTCCGGGTAATCGGTTTTCATAGCACATTCATTCTATTAAAGAGGACTGTTTGGGGCTCGCTAATTGCCCGGGGATCCCACTGAGCTGCACATTTTAAAAAATGCACGCGGGATTCCTGGGTCGAGGCCACAAAATGCATTGGAAAGGGGGGGAGGGGCGTAAACAAAAACCCGACGGAGGCGACAGCGAATGCCAAAGTGAGAGGCCAGCCTGCAATCCGTGCGGCAATGCCCAGAGAGTGACAACGGTCTTTAAGATGGGATCGCTCTAAAAATTCACCTTCGTGGGGTGTTGGGGGGGTTCTTAAAAACAACACCACTCTTCTGCCGCCACACACCCTCTTAAAATAATCGGGGCTTTTTTCGGGGGGGGCGGCGGTGACCACTAGTTTAGTTCAGAGAGTCAACGCAGGACAATCCGCCTTTATGATCCGAAGTGCCCCGGCGCTGGGGTGGGGGGCGGGAGGGCTTTAAGATGCCCGAACAGGGGCGGGGGCGGGGGCGGCATGGAGGGAGCGGAGCGGAGCGCGGGGAGCGGGAGAACGGAAGCCGAGCCCAGCCCCGGAGCTTTATCTGCTGCGGGCCAGCCCTGCCCTTGCCAGGCATGAATTACAGCCGGGCCCTGGCGGCTGCGGCGGCGGCGGCAGCCGCGCGGAGACAGGCCGGGGCGGAGCGCCCGGGGGTTCGTGCGGGCGGCGAGATAACAGGCGCAGCCCTCGGCGGCGTCGGCTCCAGGAACCCGCCAACCTGGAAACCCGAACAGGCCCAGAGGAAAATAAATGCGGGGAGCGCCCCCGTTCACTGCCCGCAGACTTGTGCGTTTCCTCCCGTGGGAACAACGCGCCCCGGGAGACGCGTAGACATTTGTTTCTTTTCTCTGACCCCCTTCCCTGGGAACTCGAGCATCTTTTTCTTTCCCGCAGCCCAGCTGCAGATCTGGGGAGGAGGCCCGAGCTGTTCTGAGCGCGGAGTCCACGTGGAGTCGCCCCTGGCTTCCTTTCCCTCTTGTCGCCTGACTTCGCGTGCACGCGGCCCACCCGCCGGGCCAGGCGAGAGCAGACACGAACCCAGACCGCATCTCAAAAGATGCTGTGGGGTTCGGGCCCGGCTTGGGATGCCTGGGGGCCGGCGGCAGGGCCGGGGGCTGCGGGTGCAAGCGGTTTGCTCCCAGGAGGCGGGGGCTCGACTTCAAGCGCCCCTGCGTCGGCTGCTGCCTTTGATCCGGCCGCCGCTGGCGCCTAAAAACAACATCCTCGTCTGCCTATTAGGCGCGCTGAGGGATCGTGACAGATTGTTTATCCCCGCAATTAGCATGCGGCCCTTCTTCGGCTGCCCGGCCCCGGCCCAGACCGGCCTAGCTGCACCGGCCGCCTGCCTAAGACAGTCCTGAGACGCTTTTGCCCCGCGAGGCCCATCTCGAGGTTCGAGCCCCCAGTCCACCCAAATGTAAGGGTTCTTCACGTCACTCCAAGAGTGCCCAGAGCCCCTGAAGTTGTTTTGACTGAAGTGCATTTTTCTAGGGAGAAAGTTCTTAATTATATCGGATCCTCAAAGGGATCTGGGAGTCAAATACTTCGAGATGGGAGACGAGGGCCAAACAAAGGAAGTTCGCTTTTTAAATGTTGACCTAAAAATCCAAGGGGCCTCGGTTTCCTTTAACCCGAGCGTGGAGGAGGTTGATCTAGCGACAGTTTAATTGGAAATGCCAGCAATAGAGAAGTCCACCGTCAGAGCTGGGCTGTGAGCAAGGTGTTAGGCCTGCAGCCTTGCTGGGTGTCATTTCGCTCAGCGATATAATGGGGTTGTGCCGCCTTCTATCCTCGTACCCTCAGCTACACCTCCGTGGCCTCGGTTTCCCTGCCTGGGGGAACCTCTGTGTGAGTCCTTGTCCCGCAGGGCCACGGTCGCGTTTCAGAGAGGCCGCTTCGGTGCGCCGCGCTTCCAGCTGGGCCAGACGCGAGCTGTAGGCTCCAAGCCCTGCCCAGGGCTGGCGTTGCAGTCTCGGGTGTGTAAGAAATCAGGAGAGGCGGCGTAAATTTCACAGATGCGAGTATTCCCGAGCCCGCCCCGTGGCCTTCACATATCTCTGAGCCTGCGGACAGATGTGAGGCTGCTGATCGCCCTGGCGTCTGCGGCCCGACCCCTCCCGCCAGACCCCGGACGCCGTCCGGGTAATAAAGTTCCCGCTCTAGCAATTCATTTTCCTTAATCTGGACGCCCCTAATCTACAGCTTTTATTGCGCCCAGTTAAAAGTCGAGGGAATTCGCTGTCCCTCCGCGCTCGGATAATTACCCCTAAATGGCCACGGCAGCCCCTGTGTTTCCTGGAGATTAGAACCCCGCAGTCATCAATGGCCTGTCCCCGTGAGCCGCCAATCACTGCCGCTCGCTCTCCGGGAGCCGCTGGCTGGGGCCCTGGAATAAGGGGCCATAAAGCGGGGGCGCAGAAAACGGTCGAGCCCTGGCCGGGAGTTTGCATGGATCTTAACGTCTCCCCACGCCCCCAACGCATTTTCCTCTATCTTTTAACAACAGAAATAAAATCACGTTTCCTCCGAAACTGGCCAAATACAAGTTTTCAAGCCCAACCCCAAAGATCCGAGCCAGGAGCCGGCCTCTTTCCCGACCCCCTCCCCCACTCCACGACCGGCGACCCGGAGATAGGAGCTGTTATTGTTTCCGCGGACGCTCTGTTTGAGGTCACGTTAAGGCCAGATGAGGGTTTTGTTGACGTTTCTGTTGGTTTTATTTCAATAAGTTCTATATCAAAAGGACCCGGCAGCTCCGTCCCTGGTCGCCAGGATAGGTGTTGCAATCCTCCCGGGAGAAGTTCAGAAGAGGGTAAAAGGACACATCGGGTAGGAAAATTGATTATTGATCCCAGATAATATTGTGCATTGTTACTCCTCACATCCATAGCCCCAGGAGCCCGGCTTCTTTAGGCAAACTTTAGTCCGGCGCTTAGGAAGAGACAGAGGCCCACTCTTAGGCAGAGGTCAACTTCGGAAGGGTGACGCAGAGCTAGGAAAGGAAGGGGATTTTAAAAAGCAAGTGATAGCATGTCTTTCTACTAGAGTGAATGCGCAGACTTCGAAGCTATCTGTCAGAAATGACCTCAACTCAAATTGTCGCGGTGAGGCAGGGAGCGGAGGGGGACGGAGAGAAACATCACGGCAACCGACTGAAGAGAAAGGTAAGAAGAGCCGCGGAAGAGAAAAACAGGCAGGGGCTGGAGGGAAAAAGGGAGGAGGGGGTGAGAGGGGCGATTAGGGAAGGGGAGGGGAGGGGAGGGCAGAAGAGAAGGAGCGAGAACAAGGGAAAGGCCCCCAGGACCCCAGAAGAAAGGGAGCCCCACGGGGACCTAGACGGAGAAGGGCAACCGAGGCAGCAGCGCCGAGGAAAGTTGCTCGCGCACCCCTCCCCTCCGCGGGCCCCGCCCTCTCCCGCGCGCCCCGAAGTCCAGCGCACCCCGGGGCAAGTCCGCAGGAGCCTTGCCCAATGGATGGCGTCGGGCCCGCCCCCTGCCGCGCTGATTGGTCGCTGCCGCGCTGGCCTCGCCTTATTAACAAGTTCTCTGGAAAGCGGCCGCCCGACCCGGAGCCGGCTAGTGCGCCCGGGAGCTCGGCCTGCGCGGCGGCGCCAGCGGAGAGCCAGGCCCAGAGCGCCGCAGCCGGCCTTCTGGGGAGGGGCGGCAGGCGCGCGCGGGAGGCCCGCCCGGCCTGGGCCCCGGGCGCTTCCAGAGGCCGGCCGCGCTCCCGGCCCGCCCGGAGCCCATGCCCGGAGGCTGGCCCGTGCTGCGGCTGGAGGGGGGGCCCGGCTCTGCATGGCCCCGGCTGCTGACATGACTTCTTTGCCACTCGGTGTCAAAGTGGAGGACTCCGCCTTCGGCAAGCCAGCGGGGGGCGGCGGGGGCCAGACCCCCAGCACCACCGCGGCTGCGGCGGCCGCCATGGGCATAGACGAGGAGGGGGCCAAGCCCAAAGTGTCCCCTTCGCTCCTGCCCTTCAGCGTGGAGGCGCTCATGGCCGACCACAGGAAGCCCGGGGCCAAGGAGAGCGCCCTGGTGGCCTCCGAGGGTGCACAGGCAGCCGGCGGCTCCGCGCAGCCCCTGGGCGCCCGGCCCGGGTCGCTGGGCGCCCCGGACGCGCCGTCCTCGCCGCGGCCGCTCGGCCACTTCTCGGTGGGAGGACTCCTCAAGCTGCCAGAAGATGCGCTCGTCAAAGCCGAGAGTCCCGAGAAGTCCGAGAGGACCCCGTGGATGCAGAACCCCCGCTTCTCCCCGCCCCCGGCCAGTGAGTAGCCAGAACCAGGCAGCGGGGGAGGGGGCCCGGGCGGGCGTGCGGGGCCCCAGGGCGCCAGGCCGCGCGCCGGCGCCTGCTTGTCTCCGGCGTCGCCGTACCTGCTGCCGGTACCTGGAGCCGGTGCCGTCGACACTTGGGCTGGGAGGTCGGGGTTGGCGCACTCCCCACGTCCACCCAGGTCGATGGTTCGAGGCCTGGCTAAGGCCCAGCGCCGGGTCCGCTGTCGTGGGCTCCTGTTCTGGGCCAGGCAGCCGTGCGGCCGGGACTTGACTTGTAGAACTCGGGTGTCAGGTCGCCCTTCTCGCCGGCCCCAGCAGACCACCACCGGAGGGCCCGTTCCCGCGTCTGGCCGTCCTGCGCCCGGGGTCCGAGTGGCGCGGATGTCTTCCCGGCGCGCAGAGTTTCACTTTCTCAGGGTAGAAGCTCGCTGTCTCCCCCAACCCCAATTAAAGTATCTCTTTGCCGGAAGGGTCTGAAATTCTTGCAAAATCCCCCCTCCCGCCTTCCAGTTTCGGGCAGATTCTCGGTGCTCTGCGTGGGTTAGGGGGAGGGGGACGCTCAGGTCCAGTGGAGGGGCGGGGCACCGAGTCAGTGAGTGGGAGGCGCCCCCTCCGATCCGGTTGGAAGCGCCCAAACGTTCCGACTGGGCCACTACAGCGGACTCGGCCACCAAAGGCGCTTTCGGGGTCCTTCCAAGGCCTTGCGGCCCCCTGGCTTTTCTGCCCAGGGAGCAGGCTGGGAGATATTTCAGGAGCACGGGAAATTCCCAAGTTTTCCTCGTTTCCTCCGATTATTTTGCGCGGCATAATAGCAACCCGAATTCAATGGCGTGATGCTGAGGAATGATTTTTATCTGGGGATTAAACGTCTTTGAAAGGCCGGCCCCTCCCCGGGCCTAATGGCCAGAGAAGGTGGCGCAGCGCTGGGCTGTGACTGCCGAAGGGAGGGCCCGCCCCTCGGGTGGCCCGGCGGAAACTGAGTCGGGGGCCAGCTGCTTCCCGGACTCTCCGTGTCTTCGAATGGGCAAGAAGGCGAGACATTAACACGAGTTCGTTCGACTCTCACCCTGGTGGTCTGAGAGCCCAAAGGATCGCTTGCTTTTTTGTTTGTTTAAGGCATGGAAAAAAATGCATAATTAGGCAAAACCCGCATGGTGAAACATTCCACATTTGAATTCATTTTCCCCCAGAGGGAAGCTGCTGAGTAAGCAAAACGTCCTTCCCGGGACCTGGGAATTTGGTGAGGGCCTTTTCCTGAGCCCTGGCATTGGCAGGATCCCCGGTGACCCGGGTATAATATGTTCCACGTTTTATCCGGCCGCAGCCGCCGGGTGTGGAGGGGTCCGCTGGTGCAGCGGACCCCGTTCTGGACCTGCTCGAACCCTCTGGGTGGTGTTCCCTGCCCAGCCTTGAGGTGTATTCTGAAGCCATAAGAAAAAGACCGTTCTGCACCGTCGATGTCTCGGCCTGAGCCACGGGTCCAGGAGGAGCCAGAAGCTGTTGCACACACCCCTGTTCCTCGACCGCACCTTTGAGTGTGACCTGAGAGCCAAGCCACGGGGGGTGGGAGAGGCTCAAGACACAGTGCACATACTCAGATGCTTGAAGAAGGCCCGTTAGAATGAAGCCCCTCTACCTACCCTCCCCAACACGTGGCTCTCTGTGTATTTAAGAGACATGGCTGCTGTGTGACCTTCGGGACAGCCGGCCCTGCTCCACCTGCCGTCCCGGGGGCTGCCCTTAGAACCCTGTAGGGACTCGCCGTTTCAAAGTGGAGTGGAATTTGGAGACTCGGATTCCGCCACGCCGTGGCCTAGCCCCCCCAGCGCTGAGCACTTGGGCTCAGGTCAGTGTTCAGCCGGCACACCAAACCAAGTGTGACCCTGGGCTGGGCGCAGGGCCTCTTTCTGCGAGTCTCAGCAGCCCTGTTACCCTCTGCGGTCCCAGTGTGCTTGGCGCTGGAAGGAGACCCGGCTGCCACAGGCCTGCCTAAGTGGCCACCTAGCATTCAGACCGTTCCACCTCTTCCCAGTTATGTTCAAGCCTTGAACGTGGGTATGTTTCACCTGAAAGCTTAGTTTCCTCATGTGCAAAAAAGTAGACCAGAACGTCTACCCTGCGGGGTTGTGGTGGGAATTGGAGAAAATACTTTCCAAGTGCCACGTCGAAAATGAATAGCCAGCATTGTTACCGACTGTTGATTACTCTTTTGGGCAGATGGTGCTCCCGCGCTCCTAACCCCCTGACTCTTTCTCTCTCGGCCCCCTAGGGCGGCTGAGCCCGCCAGCCTGCACCCTGCGCAAGCACAAGACCAACCGCAAGCCGCGGACGCCCTTCACCACGGCGCAGCTGCTGGCACTGGAGCGCAAGTTCCGCCAGAAGCAGTACTTGTCCATCGCCGAGCGCGCGGAGTTCTCCAGCTCGCTCAGCCTCACCGAGACGCAGGTGAAGATCTGGTTCCAGAACCGCCGTGCCAAGGCCAAGAGACTGCAGGAGGCTGAGCTGGAAAAGCTGAAGATGGCCGCCAAGCCCATGCTGCCACCGGCTGCCTTTGGCCTCTCCTTCCCGCTGGGCGGCCCCGCGGCCGTGGCGGCCGCCGCCGGTGCCTCGCTCTATGGTGCCTCCGGCCCCTTCCAGCGTGCTGCGCTGCCCGTGGCGCCCGTGGGACTCTACACGGCCCACGTTGGCTACAGCATGTACCACCTGACATAGAGGGCCCCAGGGTCGCCTACCCGTGGCACCAGCTGCTTCCTCCACCCCTGATCTTCTTGCAAGCAGCAGAGGCGGTCCCCAGCGGGCCCCCCTGTTTGGCACCGCCTGGCTCCTTCCCTGTAGCCCCCACACTGCTCTGGTTTTTCCTCGGTTGCGCCCCGACTTCACTTTCTGAAGTCTGATCCTTCTCCAGAAAGTGACTGGAAGGGTCGCTTCTGCTCTTCTAGAATCTAGATCCACCCCTGGTGTTACAGATGGGGAAACTGAGGACAGAGAGGTTAAGAAATTTATCCCCCGCAGAGTTACTGGTAGGACCGAGAGAAGAGGCCGCTTCTCCAGCACCGCTGCTTCCTGTCCTGCCACCAGGCAGGAAAAGCACAGGGAAATTCGTGTTTGAAGACTGCAGAGAGGGGAACAGCGGCAAGGAGGAGCAGGCCCGCAGAGATGGGTCCCGGTCCTTGCGTTGGAACCCTTAGAACTTCAGCGAATCATTTGCTTTGAATGGTGGGGGGGGTACACAGATGCGTTACAAAGGTAGGTGGAGGGGACCTCTCTGTTACCAGTACCAGAGAAAAATTGTAAAATAAAAATTAAAATTCTGTTTCTATTTAACAGTACATTTGTGTGGCTCTGGAGAATCCCTTTGGAAGGGATTGGGTGTAATATACTGTATATTTGAAATTTTATTATCATTTATATTATAGCTATATTTGTTAAATAAATTAATTTTAAGCTACAAGAAATGATCCCTGTACTGACTGCGGATTTTATTTGAATTTCACTGCCTGTCACCGCACCACGGACACGATTGCTTTTCAGCGGGGTGGGCGCCTTACACCGGCCACTTTCAGAGGCGACAACAGGTTATTCAGGGACAGGAGGGGGGTCTTTCTGAACACACAGGACAGATCTGCATTAGCAAAGTCAAGTGGAGAATTGAAGCAATTACCTAGGATAATTAGGCTCAATTTTCCAATTCACTTTAAGCTGAAATCGACACTTGTTCAGGCGACCCAGAACCTACTCTTTCTTTTTTCTCTCCTTTTAACCTGTCTGTGAAAACAAAGCGAATCACCCAAATGGTTTGATGACTGCAGACAGCTAATCCAGACAATTCCCACCCCCGCAAACCTGTTTTTCCCACAGGAGGCCGAGTGGGGGATGGAGGCCGTCCTTTGCGTCTCTAAATCACCACGGCCGGTGTCGACCGGATTTGTGGAACTAATTTCGAGCTGCCAGAACGTGAGCGCCTTCACACCCCCAATTACGACCCCTAAAAAAAAACAAAACAAAACTGAAAACCCAGGGCGACCGCTTCCCGCCTTTGCGTGTCCTTTGCATGAGCCCTGCCTCCAAACTCCCACAAACTTCGTTTTTCTTTTATAGAGAAGGTTAAATTCAGGCTCTCCAGGAGAATATATTTGAGCGAGCGCCAAGTTGGGCCTTCTGGGGGGAATTCTGCAAGAATGGCGAAGGCAGAAAATGACCTCTTAGTCGGTAGAGCCTAGTATGTTCCAGGCACCACTCTGTTCTCTTTCGAGTCGGGGACCCTGGCTTAATTCTCCCCTGGTCGGCACCCGCCCCTCGCAGCCACCCCACCTCGGTCCCGAAGTGGCCGGCGCCTCCAAGCCCCACGCAGGACAGCCCCGGGCAGCCTTTGCAGGGAGGCCAGCCATTAAGACAGGAAGCCTGCAGATGAATGGCTGTTAAACCCTGAAGTACCTGGCGTTGGACTTGGGGAGGGTGGACGTCCCCGCAGACAGAGACCCAGGCGCAGTGCGGAAACCCAGTCGGGGGCGCGCTCCGGAGTTCCAGCCCCGGGGGAGCGGAGGTCTGCCTCGGAATTCCAAGAGAGCGCAGGGTTTCGCGCAGGCACCCTGAGCTGGGGCTGGGCACGTCCCAGGGTACCTGGGTCTCCAATCCTTGAGCCTCGGGCGCTCGGGCAAAGACTCTGTTCCCTGTGGCTGGGGCTGCAGTCTGAACTTGTCACAACACCCCTCCCTAAGGGAAGAGAACGGGCTGGCTTCGGAGTGCCGGTCTGTGGCACCAGACAGTCTGGGGGAGCTGCCGACCTCTCTGGGCTTCCAGAAGCGCAGCCAGTACCCGAATCTGGGCCTCCGGGTCGCCAAGAGCAGCGGAGTCAGATCTAAAAAAAGTCTGACTCGCACGCCCACGCGGCCCTTTAAAGATGCTGAGGGCTGAGGCCCTTTAAAGATCGCTGCTTCTTGCAGATGCAGTTAAAAAAAAGAAAGAAAAAAGAAAAGAAAAGAAAAAAAAGGGAAAAAAATTATCCCCTCTAAAAACTAAGCATCCTGAGTGGCCATGCTGAGGACACCCCAGCTTTCACATCTTCTGGGTTCCTTTCCTTTCCTGGGAATAGCCTTGAACTTGAGGTCAGACAAGCCCATGTGTTTCATCCCAGCCCGGCCACTCTGCCTGACTCTGGATAGAGAAGGTACCTCCGTCTCTTCGTTCCTCAGTTTTCTCACCTGCAAAATGGGCCTGGGAGTCCCACCCCTCCCCCGCCCCCGTGATTTTGGAGAGGACTCCGCGAGTCCCCGGGTAGAAGGGTGCCGGGGGAATATCAGATGCCTCTGACTTTTTCAGTTCACGGTGCGCCCGCAGCGCCGCAGTGCTTTCAGCGCGCGCGAGTTAAGGGGAATGGCCGGGCACGATCGGGTGTCTCCTCCGGCTGGGGCTCCCGGGCCTACCGGCTCCTCGAGGCTGGGCAATTTAGGGTTCAGGCAAACTCAGAACAACATAATTGCAGTCATGAGCAAGGGCTCGCGCTCTGCAGACGCACCGCGGCTCCAGCGAGGCGGTAGCTGCAGGCCAGGCTGGCCCCTTCCCCCACCCCCGCACTCAGCGGGCTTAGTAGGGGGCCCCGCCCTGGGACCCCGCCGCGCCCGCCTCCGCCCCATTGCCGGCCTTGGGTCCTGGTTTCCTTCCAATTCTTTTCCTCCTAGTTTTCTCTTTTCGATTTCTTTTTGTTCAGCCCTTTCTTTGCCCCCGCCCCTTTTGTTTTCGAAGCCCCTCTCTCGCCCAGGAGTGCGCACAGAAGGTGCTCAATAAATGTTTGCTGGACCAGAGCGGCGCGCCGGTGTGGGGTGGGGGTCCCGGTCCGCCGGGAATTGGCGGCGCGACTCCGGGCACCGCTTTTCGCTCACCCCAGCCCTGCAAACTCGGCTGCTTGTTTAGCAAGCGAGGGCGGAGCGGGCAGGGGGTTCCCAGGCCCGGTCCTGTACGGATCCTTTTCCTCCTCTGGAAGGAAACACCGGATCAATCACGCGGCGCCTCCGCCTCCCGCGCCCCCAGGACTTCCCGCACCCGCCGCCTCCCACCCACCCCGGGAGATTTTTCGCGAGGGAAAGGACTGCGGTCCAGGGAGGTGACACGATTTTCCCAGGCCACAGAGCCCGTAAGCGGCAGAGGAGCGATCCGAGCGCAGATTCCGCTCCGGAACCCACGCCTTCCCCGCACTGCCCAGCCCCTCTCCCCGCGGGTCCCCCAGTGCCAGCGCCGCTCTTGGGGGCAGTAAAAGCCCTTCCCAACGCGCCCGTCGCTGGAAAGCGCGCCGGCCCTCGCTCGAGGAATTTAACTCCTTCCGGTTCTGACCGCGAGCCAGCGCGGTCCCTTGGGGAAAAGGAGCGCATCTCACCTGCCCTGCACGCCGTCCGAGAAGGCGTCTTCGTTTTGTTGGGGAGCAGACTGAACTTCAGTCTGCGAACTGAGTTTCTCACCCTGCTGGCAGCGCCCAAGGGGCCCGCGGCCCCTGGTGTGGGAGCTCGGGCGGGGAGGAGACAGATTACCGGGGCGGCAGGGGCCTGGGGCGCTCCCAGCCCTGCGCATAGGTCGGCGGGGGCCGGGCGGTCGGGGGTCTGCGAGGCCGGGGTGGGGCCAGGGAGCTCACGCCTAGACGGCCTGGTTTTAGGGTTCCTTTTTCCGCTCGCTGACCGCGGGGCTGAAGGCCCGGGTCGCGCCGGAAGCCCCGTGAAGACAGTGACTGAGGAGGCGGGGGGGGCCTCCGGTGCGAATCTCAGGGTTGTGAAGCTGTGAACGTGCCTGAACCTCCATCCCCCACCCCCGCCGCACCCCGGGTCCCTAAAGATCCCCTGTAGTGACCCGCGGCCCGGAGGTGAGCCGCCCGGCCCGGCCCGGCCTGGAGCCCTCGGGGGCGCAATGGGAAGCGGCGGGGAGAGGCCTCGGCCGCCTTTCAACTTGGCGGCTGGCGCCGGCCTGGCCGGGCCTCCGGGGCCGTGCGACCTGCCGGGCTCCGTCCCCGCCCTCCCAGCCGCTCGCACCGAGGCGCAGCGCGCACACTCCCCCAGCCCGGCGGTCCCTGCAAGCACCTCAACATGCCCCCCACCCAGGACCATGCTCCGGCGTGAGAGCCTCGTAGGGCTCACTCCGGACTCTCGGATTCCCTTCCGCTCCCCCGACAACTCCCCCTCCCGCGGCGCCCAGCACCCCTGCTGCAGGAGAGGAGGACCCTCTCACTGTCCGACCTGCCTCCTCCACAGCGCCCTCCCGCGGCCCCGCGGCCCCACGCTCGGCTCTCTGCGGCGCCGGCGGGCCTGACGCGGGGCTCGGCTCCCTCCGCTGCAGAGAGCACCTACCCACGCATACACCCATGCACGCACCCATAGGACCGACACTCACCATCAATGCATGCATACACAGCACACCCACATGCACTGCAACAAACACACCTAACACACACAAAACAAACACAACATAGGCCACTCATGCTCAACCACCACACTGACACCCAAGCAACATACACGGTGCACACAAACAAAAGACAAGAGCAGTCCACAACACCAGCCACACACACAGCCATCCGATGCACACACCCGAACAATACCTTACAAACTCGTGCAGTGCAACACCCATCACACGGACACACACACACAACCAGAGTCACCCAACCACACGCAACCCACATAGGCTGCACTCTCTGTGCACACAAAACTAAATCAACACACACCCACCGTCAACACACACATTCCAATAAGCACCCAGCCCACGTATAGAGGCCGCCACTCTAATGCCCTGCAGTTCTGCCACCTAGGACCTGGTGACACTGGCAGACACACGTCATCTTAGGAGGGAAGACCCAGAGGTCCTCTCCCCTCCCAAGATATCCCCCCCCATCAGCAGATATCTCCGTCTATTGATTGCGGGGGGATAAACCCTGAGAGGTGACGTACTGAGAGGCCCAGAGAAGCGGCTGGAAGCCCCTCGGAGAACGGGCTGCGCCGGTCACTGCGTGGGCAGGGCTGGGGCGGGGCCCGTGGGAGTCCGGTCCCCCTGACTGTGCCGGCAGCCGGTGCCAAGATGAAGGCCTTTCACTAGGAGGCAGCGAGGGGGTCCCTTGAGGGGTCCCTGGGAGCTTCCTTACAAGAACCCCTGGAGACTGAAGCCTCCTTTCCCCTCCTGCGGCTTCTCCCCTGCACCCCCACGCCTCCCTCCTGTGCACCCGCCTTCTCCAGCCCCCGCAGAGAGTCCTGAGGCCGCCGCCCTGCCCGGGGTCAGCATGGGTCTGAACGCCCGCCTGAAGCCTCGGCCTCTGGTCTTCCGAATCCCGCTGTGGCGCTGACCGGCCGTGAGACCCTGGGCGAGCTCCGAACCCGCCCTGAGCCTCACTTTCTTCACACGTGAACGCCAGTCTCCGTATTAGCGCGGGGAGAAAGCGAAGTCTTCTTGAGATGCTG